CTGCCCGCCCGCCCGCCCGCAACTTGGTTTCCTGGGCCGAGGCGGCGGCGATTGCGATCAGTGCTGGGCGTTGGCCCGTGCGCCTCTGCGGCCGCGCTAGCCCGCGCATGCTCGCGCCCGAAGCGGCCGGCTAGTTCGGCGCGGCCAGCGCAGCCGCGGTGGCGCTGGCCGCTGGGCATATCCCAGCGAGCATTTTAGTGCGAGTCGGCGGCTTGGGCGGGCGCAGTGCCGCGGAAATGTCGACAGTCGTAGACGCGAACATTGCAGTGGCGACGCTGGCGGCGATGATGATATCGACGACGAAAAGGCCAATGCTGGCGCCGATCGCGCCGACGACGATGACGGCGCCCTCGCGTCGGCGATGAAGATTGAGCGCGATTTCGACATGCGCGCGCGGCGGGCGCGCGAAGGAGCGGCCCGCTTGAAATTATTTGACTCGGATCGCGCCTCCCCCCCCAGCACGCGCCCAAAAGCGGTCGAATGGTGTCGACATGCGGCGCGAGCGGCCCGTTTCGTCGAACTTAATGCAAATATAAAAATAAAAAATGGTCTCGCGCACGCGACGACGCACGGGCGCGCGCTGCGCCAGTCCTTTCTTTCGCAAAGGGTTCTCGCGACAGCGCGCGCGCATGGGCGCCCGGGCGATTTCGGCGCGCGCGCGCGAGAGGCACGTTTGGCACCATGTGATGAGCAAGTCGGAAAACCAATGGGTTCTTAAAAAATCGGCACGAGCGCAAGCGCAAGCGTTCATGAACAAATGTGTTCCCAATATATGTTGTATGTTCAGTGGCGCTCGATTGTGAAATCCTTCCGAAACTTACAGTTTCCGAACGATTTCGGCGCGCGCGCGACGGCGCGTGCGCGCGTGCACTTCGTCCCACCTGTTGCAGGCTAATCGTAATTTACAATAAAGGACTGCGCGCGCATCGCATTTCCCCAGAGGATGAAAGGGGGGCGATGAAGGTTTGGCGTAGATGATGCGAACTCGTATTTAGGATGGACAGTGGGGCAGAAGCACACGTCAAACGCAATGCGACAAGGGGGGCGGCAAAGTCCCGGGGAGGGCGGTACATCCAATCATTGTTTTTTTTGTTCTGGAAAAAACACCATGCAAAATCTGAGATTCTGGTGGGATTAACAGAGGGGGGTCTATGTGATGCAGTCTATGTTGCGCATTCTATGCTGCGCAGAATACGCGGTGCAATATATGTTGTTTAACCTATCAGGTGCGCAACCTACGTTGCGCAATCGACGCGGTGTAATCTGCGCAGCGCGATTTGTGCAGCGCAATGAATTCCTGTCCGCAGTGAACAGTCAACCCCACTGCTCGCGAAATCATCCCACCCGCCCGCCCGCAACTTGGCTTGCAAAACGCATGCGAAGGCGATTGCGATAACTGCTCGGCGCTGGCTGGCGCGTCCCCGCGGCCGCGCTAGCGCGAGCGCTCGCGCGCGAAGCGGTCAGCTAATTCGGCGCGGCTGACGCGGCCGCGATGGCGCTGAACGCTGGGCACTTCCCAGCGGGCGCTTCGCCGCGAGTCGACGACGTGGGCGGGCGCGGCATCATGGCAACGTCGACAAGGGTAGACGCGATGATGGCAGCGGCGATGCCGGCGGCGACGATGACGACGATGACGGCGCCCTTGCGTCAACGATGAAGGCTTTAGACGGAGTTCGACGCGCGCGCGCGCGGCCGGCGCGCGAGTGGCCCGCGTGGCACCTTTTATGGCGCGAACCTTGCCCCCCCCAAGCACGCGCGCATGGGGGTTCGAATGGTGCCGACGTGCGGCGCGAGAGGCCCGCTTGGCCGAATTCAATGAACACGTTGAAAAGCCAGAAGGTTTTCTTGAGACGTCGCAGGAGCGCGAGCCCAGGCAAATCTCACAGCTGACGTTGCCAAGCCGCGCGTGTGTTTACATATTTGTCTGGGCCCTCGATTTGGGCGCCCTTGCCAGTTCTTGAAAGATCTCCGCACGCGCGCGCGACGACGCGCGCGCGTGCACTTCGCTTTCTGGCGCAAGGGTTTCTCGCGACAGCGCGCGCGCAAAGGCGCTCGAGCGATTTCGACGCGCGCGCGAGAGGCGCGCTTGGAGCCATGCGAAAAAAATGTTGACCTGTGTTTTGTTCTGGAAAATCTGCAAGAGCGCGAGCGCAGGCTTCGTTTGGATGTTCTCGTTGCGAAACCATGTGATTGTTATGTGTTCTCGGGGGGCTCGACATTGGGGCCCTTGTGAAACGTTCGTTTTTTTGCGCTATTTCGGCCATGGTTTGCTCGGCCGCCGCATGACATTGGAACGCGCGATCTGCGAGCCGTGTGCCGACATCGCGCTGGCGCGAACTTCGGCGAACAATTCAATTTACGTGTTCTTATTTTCTCTTTTTTCCAACGCGCCGAGATGGGCGCGCGAATCCGCGCTGCCAGGTTTTGCCTGCGCCTGCTATTTCCCGCAATCTATCCCAGAGCGCCCTGGCTCGAAGCAGCCGAGCCCGCGCGCGAGGGCCAGCGGGGGATTTGATTCTTCCAGGGCGAAGGCAGCACGGGAACGACGCCCCTTCGTGGACACTACGTCCCCCAACCAGCCTGCTCAACGCCCGGAAACTCCATCAACTTCGCCGTTCGGCACGGCTGCGCGGCCTCGGCGTGGATCGGCGCCAGCGCGCCGCGGCGGGGCGGGGCCGCTCGACCGGGCCCGCGTGGTCTGATCTGCAATATTACATGAAACCATGCGCCATGCAGACATGCCGCGCGCGCGCCGGGGCCCGCGCGCCCCGGCGGCTTCGCGGGGCGGGGGTCCAATCCAGAGCAGCCGACCCCAGCTTGCCCGCATGCCCCCCCCACCCTCTCCCCCTCCCCCGCCCCCCCCCCCCCCCCCCCCCCCCCCCCCCCGCACCACCCCCCCTCCCCGCATTTTCTGCGCCCCGCTGGGGGGTGGGCTCGACGAGGGCACCTCGTGGCACCCCAAGGCTGGCGAGGCCCCGCGACCCCGCATTTTCTGCGCCCCCCCCCTCCCATGGGGCGCGCGACCGACGAGCCCCACCCCCGAGAATCCCGCGATACAATCTGCCCGCAAGCGCACTGGCGCCCCCCCCCCCGCCAGCCCGAAAACTGCGCGGGCGCGTCGCCAATGCGCCTATCTGTTCCTGGCGGAGCCGATCGGGGCGGATCTGAACTCCCACTGAGCCGCCTTCTATTTGCGGCACCTCCCCGGCGCGACGACAAAAACGCCCGCGCCGGGGATCGCGCCGCCTGGGCCCGAGATGCCCAAGAAGCGCCCGGGAACAAATCTTGCCCAAGCCAGAATAAAATGTTACCCGGGTAAAAGAATGCCCAGGCCCGTAAGAACGCGCGCGCCCCGAAAAATATCGCCCGGGCCCGAAGGGACACTGCCTCGGCCTGGACAAATTTCGGGCGCGCGCGCGCGCCCTCGAACATATTGCCCGGGCCCGAGATAGCATTGGCTGGGCCGAAAGAAATACTGCCCGGGCCGCAACAAATTCGCGCGCCCTAGACATGCCGCCTGGGCCCGACGGCATGCCATCCGGGCCCGAGACAAATTTCGGGCGCGCGCGCGCCCGAAAAAATATGGCACGGGCCTGGCGAAATATTGTCCGCCCAAAAAGCACTCACCGTCCGTGCCCGACAAATACGCGCATGTCCCAGACAAAATTGACCGGGGCCCGAAAAAAATGCGCCCGCGCCCCGGGGCGACCCTGCCAGAAATGAAAATGGGCCTCGTCAAATGACAAATGAGCACGCCCAGAAATAGCCCACCATTTCGCATTGGGCGCCGCCCGAAAAAATCAAGCTCGCCCGATGCTGCGTAGATCAACATTGGGAACAACATCGGGCCTGCTCGAATATGTTTTTGAATGGTAGGCCACATGTCCTAACCGCCTATGTTGCGCCCGTCAAGAAGGCCGCGGCCGTCAAGAAGGCCGCGGGCGGCTGCGGCGCAGGCGGCGGGTCGTGGCGGGGCGCGGGCCTGCGCGGCCTAGCTGGACGGGCGGCCCCTGGGGGGGGGCTCCAGCGGGGGCCTGCGCGGCGGTCAGTTCGGCTAGGCCGGGCGATGCGTTGGCCTCCTGCGCGCTTCAACGGCGCCTTGGGGGCGGCGCTGTCGCGCGCGCGCGTGGGTGCTGTATGAGGAGCTCTCTTGGAATGCATTTTAGGGATCTTCCGCCGGTCTCCGGCGCGCTCCTCGGGCGCGCCCTGGGGCCCTGCGGGGAGCCGCTCAAGGGGTCGGATTTTCTGCGGCGCACGGTGGGGGCCCCTATGATGGCCTGGCGGAGCTTTGCCAGGGGCACCAGGGCCCCCCCGCGCGCCTCGCCTTCCCCTCCTCACCCATCCCATCCGCTTGCTTGCGTCGCAGGGGCGCGACTTCGACGGCGGCGGGCCCGCGGTTGCGCCGACGCGCAACTGCGCTGGACTCGTCTGGATTACAAGTGATACGCGCAGATATTCTGGCATTGGTTTCTCTGCCCACTGGGCGATTCGTTTCTTGCCCGAGAATGCGGGCGCACTTCAGATGCGCCTAAGGCAGTCGCCGGATACACGCACCATGTTTGATCCAGCCCCACTTGGCCGCCCCAGCAAACATTAGGATTTCGGCGCGCGCGACGACGCGCGCGCGTGCGCTTCATGCCGTGTTAGCGAAAGGGCCATAGGGTGGGAATGTCTAGTGCGGCGCGTCGATAGTTCCCGACCTTTGCTCGACGCCGCCGCTGCTCAATATATCAAGGCACAATGATCCACTGAGCAACAGGAGAAGGGCGCCGTCGATCCGCGGGCCCCCATCCCTGTCTCTCGCGGGCGCCTAACTCCTGCCTGGGATGGCGCTCGACGGCAGCCCTGGCCCGCCAGCTCCGCCGGCCGCGGCCGAGCCGCGGGGGGGCAAAGTATGGGCTGCCGTCTGGGCGGCGCTGGCGGCGGCCGCTGCCGCGGGCAACCTCGTCGCACAGCTGGCGACCAAGGGCCGCGGCGGACTGGTCGGACTGACGCTGCGCATGGCAGTGGGCCCGTCGGCCGCCTGGTTCGCTGCGCGCCAGGGCTGGCGTCTGCGCTGCGACCAGGCGGTCGAGGCCGAGCAGCTGAAGCAAATGATCGAGCAAATGCAAGCCTGGCACCTCGGTGGAGGCTCAGGCGCGCCAGGAGCTGCGCTCGACCCAAGCTACGACATGACGACGGACGACGTGGGCGCCGAGGGCGGAGTGCTGCCCCCTGGGGCCCCCCTCGTGCCGGGTGCGACGGGCCCGCCAGGGGGTCTGGGGACCCCAGGCGTGGCGACGGGAGTCGTGCCGCCCATGGGGGCACCGCCCCCCGCGCCTGCTGGCGCGGGGGCGCTGGGTGCCTGCGCACGGGCGCCAAGCGCGGGCGCAGCCCGCCCTGGGGCCCGGCCGCGGCGGGAGCGGCGGCCCCTGGCGCGGGCGCGGGCGCCGTGCCGGAGCACTGCCCTGGAGCTCAGAACGCCCTGGCGGTGTCGCAGGCGCGTCAGATCAAGGAGCTGCTGACAGCCTTCCGCGGCGCCAAGGCGTCCGACTGCCAGTAGAACCGCAGGTTCCGGCAGACGTCCGGGCCATCGAGGCGTCGGGTCAGTTCCAGGGGGAGATCGAGCGCGCGCTGACGGGCTCCGGCCACGCGGGACCAACGACGGCAGCGCCGCGGGAGGCCGAGCTGATCGGGGCCCTGGACCGCCTCAGCTCCCAGGCGGCCCTGACCGTGGGCAGCGGACGATGGGCCCAGGGCGCCTCGCCAGACCTCTCGGCGTCGCGCGGCGGGTCCGAGGAGACGCGCTGGGGGTCCAGCCTGCCAGCCGATCTCCAGAGGGCCGCCCCCGAGATCTACTGGATGATGCGAGGCGAGGGCTCATCGGGTGCGAGGGATTGGATCGCTCAGAGGTGCCGGGGCAGTCGCAGCAACCCCGTGCAATGGGTTGACCTGTGGACCCTGTCGACCATCACAGACTTCCGGCTTAATGATTGCGCTGGCGACGTGGAGATCATGCAGGTGCTGGCCGTGGACGACATGATGTAGCTCGCCCTGGGGAGGCTGGCGTCGTGCGTGCACGAGCGGAGGAGCGGTGGCCGCGCGGGGGCCATGCGCCATGCGCATGCTGTGCTCCGCGCCACCTGGCGGCTCAGCAGACGCGGCCCCCACGCGGGTGGCGGCGTCGGCGTCGAAGCGCCGGCGCAGACAGCGAGTGGAGACCGAGCTCCAAAGCCGCGAGAAGAAGGAGATGGGCGACGGCAAGAGCGGCCGCGGCGGCCAGGGTGGCCGAGGAGGCGGGGAGGGCGCGGACGGCCCCCCCTTCCAAGGCCTGACGGCCAGCCGCGCGCCCCGCCGAGCCCGCGGGCGGGGCGCAGAGCGGCGCGGCTGCGCGGGCCCCCAAGGTGCGCGACACGACGGGCCCGACGCTGCAGCAGGTGATCTCGGCGACGCTGGGACAAGAGGCCCTGCTGCCGATCGTGCTGGTGGCGAAGCGCTCGGGAGGCGGGGGTCGGTCCAGCCGACTGCGACGCCGTCTCAAGCAGAAACTCGCGCTGTGGGCTCTCGCGAACGAGTGCGTGCGCGGGATCAACTCCATGGACGCGGGCTCGCGCAAGGACCTCGCCCGACTCCGTCGCGACGGCGATCTCTCGGACAAGATGCGGAGTCTGCGCGGCCAAATGCATAGAGTGGCCTGGAGAGAAGCTAAGCGACAGGCAGAGGCGCGCCGGGACTGCGGTCTGACAGGCGCCCCAGCGGTGCTGGAGCTAGCTCGCGGGGAGGAGGTGGGCTACGGCAAGCCGACCAAAATGACCGCTCATGAGGCCCTGAGAGCAGAGGATGTGGACGAGCTGCAGGAGGTGAAGTGCGCGAAGATGCTCGACGCGCTGGGGCCCGAGGAGGCCATGCACAACTGCGAGGAGACCAACGTGGTGGGGCGCGCCGAGCTGAGGGGCCGGGTGACCTTCGAGGATCTGCAGCAGAAGTTCGACTTCGTGGGCGGGTGCCAGTGGTACTTCGCGCGCTGGGACATGCCGCCGAACCTCTGGCACTTCGGGGGCGCCGAGGAGGTGAATGCGATCGCCGGCTTCAGCGCGGTGGGCAATGAAGTCAGGAGGTCGGCAGCGGAAGATCATCATGGTGGTGGCCGCCAACTACATGTTCAAGGATGTGAGGGAGCGGTCGGGGCACGGGCTGCACGGTGGTTGAGCGCCGGGCCGCCTGCGTGTCCCATCGGACTGTTGGGCGGCGGCGGCTTTCGATGAGAGCGACGCTTTCTCTTTCGTGGAGGTGCCCTGTTGGGCGCGGGGCTGGCGGCGCGTGCCCCCGGTGCGGGCGCGGGCCGTCTGGGGCCGACTCAGCGCGTCTCAGCGGGCCGCGCTGGCCCCCGTGTCCTGGGCCCACCCTGCGCGGCGTCGGCTGGTCACGGGCAGCCCCCGCAGCGTGCATATCTTGATGGCGATCAACGCCAGAATCTGCGCCATGACTTCACGACGCCCGCTCGCGAGCCAGGGCCGCGAACAGCGACTCAAGTGGATAGAGAGCTACCGGATGATCAGCGACAACGAGTGGGCTGAGCGACAGCAAGTATGACGTTCTCTCCCCCCGAGATGGACAGCCATTCCGCGGCGGGGTGGTGCGAGGCAGCGCGGCAGGCCAAGCTGCAGAGTGGCAGAGTCTTCGTGGACATGCACCTCTTCGCGGGCCCCCGGAGGGCTCAGGACGTGCAGTGCTACCTGGGGAAGTTCATGGAGGAGCTGGGCCTGGTTGCTCCTGCTGATAATCTCCGTCGACCAGGCGGTGGACTCGCGGAAGGGGCCTGAGTCGGGCGGGCGCCTTCGAGCAGCTGCGGCCCCTGGGCCGGGCCCGCTTCGGGCCGGGAGGTCCGCGACCTCTGCGCCGACGCGGCGAGCGCTGCTGGGGTCTACCTCGGACGCGGCCGACGCCTGGGGAGATCGCGCGACTGGGCGAGGCCAACCGCCTCGTGCTCAACCACCTGGCGTTGCGTGGCGGCGCGGCGAGCCTCGGAGGTACATGGGGGCTCAAGCACCCCGGGGACCCCGGAGAGAAGCCCCACCCCTCGATCTTTGACTCGGAGATCCTGAAGGGCTTGGAGGAGAAGACACAGGCCAAGCGGTTTTCGATCGACCAATGCATGATGGGCGAGGTTTCGCAGAAGCCTACGAGTGTCGCAGGGGCGGTAAAATGGTCATCCGACGGAACGGGGCCCACTCACACGAGGAAAGCTACGGCAAGGTTAACGGCGCCTTCCGGATTGCCAAGCTGGCCGCCGATCCACCAGCCTTGCGCGAATGGATTGCGGAGAGCATCGCGAGGGCACTGGCGGACATGGCGAGTCACGGTGCGGGCCCTACGGGCCACCGGCTGCCTGGAGCGCGGTGTCCTACGATCTCGAGCTTCTCGGCCAAGCTGGACATGGGCACCTTCCACTTCCTGAACGAGGCCTCCTCACGCGAGACGGGGGCGGTGCTGGGCGCGTCGGACACGAGCCTCTACCTGCGCATCGGCGACGGCCCGATCTCCGCCGACGGGGGCCTCCAGGGCTCCGGCGAGGCGAAGGTTGACGAGCTGGTCCACCAGGTGGGGGGCGCGCAGGAAGACGTCGGCTTCGTGGTGAAGGACCGCAGGGGGCACGGCCTGGTCGACCGCAGCGTGGGCTACGAGATCGAGTCGCGCCCCGCGCGGGTGCGAGTGCCGAGGCGGAAGGCGGCCCTGCTGTGCGAGACGCTGGAGGTGATGACCGATCGGGGATGGGTGCACCTGCGCCACCTGGCGCCCGTCCTGGGCGTCTGGATCTGGGCCGCGTTGCTGGCCACTGGCTGTCGGCGCCGCAGCACCTGCGCCAGTTCGCGCGCCAGGAGGGCCGCCGCTGGCACGGGTGGCGGCCCTAGGCCCGACGGGAGGCGATGGCCATGCAGAAGGGCATCGTGTGCTTATGCGCGGACCTCGGGGCCCCGCTGCTCGGCGCGCTCTTCGCCCCCGACGCCGATGGGGCCCGAGACTTCGAATTTGGCGGCTTCGGCGCGGCCGTGGCCGCCGGGGGCCGCGCGCAGAAGGGGGGCTGCGGCGCGCGGGCGCGAGGCCGGGCACGGCGGTCGCCAAACCTGGCCAACTACAGAGAGTATTTGACAGGGGGCCCTCGCCCTAAGAGTCGCACCTGCCCGTCAGCTCCATCGCCCATGGCAGGGCTGGGTCGCCAGCGAGGCGTAGTGGGTGCCCGTGGAGGCCGGGCGCTGGAAGCGAGCTTATCACATCGTGTTGGGCGAAGGATGCGCGGCCTCGCGCGCCCTATACCGTCTGGTTGTGGTCGCCGAGGCGCGTCGGTCCAGGGTGATCGGCCCGGAGGACAACGTGGCCTTTGCCGGGGCTGCGGCGAAGGGTCGATCCAGCAGGTCCAGCCAACTACTCACTGAGGAGGAGGTGTGATTTGTCGAGTGCGTCGGAGATCATGATGCCACCCCCCCTGGATAGAGACAGAGAGGACGCCCGCGGACGGCCTCTCGAGAGCGAGAGGATGCGGTCAGGACCAAGAGGAGCACAGAGCCCCAGTGCCGGAAGATCAGGCGCGCGTGTCGCGCGCAGTACAGTGCTAACTCTGGGCCCCAGAGCGCAGGGCGACCCGCGCTTAGAGGGCCGCGCGCAACCGCCAACTTTACTAACCTATCGGCTTCGAGCAGCTGGGTTCTTTGCGTGGCGCTTGGCGGCGGGAGCGCCGCCTTGGGCGCCAGACGCGTGGGGTCAGGCCCTGGTGGGCTGCAAGGCGACCCCCGCCCTTCTGAAGAGCCACTTCACCAGACTGGTCGCAGCCGTCGAATCAAGTTCCCGAGGTTGAAGGGCCGCTTGAGCAGATACCACGTCGCGCTACGCGGCTGGGAGCTAGAGCATCGGACCAAGCACGCGGCCCCGATGGCGAGCGCGGCCCAGGCGTTCGTCGGCGTTCAGCGCGGCGAGCCTAGGCTGGGAGTCGGCGTCGTGCTGCAAGGAGAAGTGGGGGCGCGCCCGAGCGAGATGCTGGGGGTCGTCACGTCGGATCATCTTCCCCGAGGAGTCTGGGCACCAGCAGGGCAAGGGGCCTCTTGCTGTGGGACTCGGCGTGAAGGCCAACACCAAGGCCAAGAGGCCCCAGTCCAACGCTATCTTGGAGTCCGACAGTCCGATCCTCGTGGGCACCCTGAAGCCCCCCAAGGCTCGCGCGGCCCCGGGTGGCCGCCTAGTCCCATGCGCCCTGGAGAAATACAGGAAGCTTTGGAATCTTATCCAGTCTGAGTACAATTTGCCAATGAGGTGGTCTCCTCACAGTCCCCGAGCAAGTTTTGCTTCAGAGGCCAGGGCGCGGGGTATGTCTTTCGATCAGATACGTGGGGCGGGTCGGTGGAAGCTGGGCATTTTCCTCCGAATATACATCGACGTGGCACGGGCCGCCCATATAGCCGTAGGGCTGAAGGCGGCCGGGCGGGGACCGGCCTTCGACTGGGCCGCGCGCCACTGGGCGTGGGTCGCGGCCAGAGCGCTGAATGGCAGCGAAGGGCAATAGACGACGGCCAAACGGCTGATGGACCCCATCGAAGGTACCTGCGAGCTGGAGGGGCCGCCACATCACCACCAAGACCGACCTCACCTTTTTCCGTGGCAGCTTCGACGGGCTCGCCGTCGGCATTTGCGACTCCGTTTTCCTTTTCGTCACCTCTTTCGCCAGGCGACGGGGCCACGCCGGGCGGGATGGCCCTTCCTGCGGCGCCGCACTGGGTGACCGCCAAGGCGGGAGCGATGCACCCGCCGAACAGCCCAGTGGCCGCTGGCGCTCCTGGTGGACGCGCTGGGGCAGGGCGGCCAAGTGGGGCTGCGCAGGCAACCTGACGTGCGCGGTCCTCATGGTGGCCCGACTGGCACCGGCCGCCTGGAGCCCGCTTCTGGCGCGCACGGTGACAGCGGCAGCAGACGTGGCAGAGGAGGTCGGAGGCGCGGCGGGGCCTATGTCAGGAGCGGGCGCCAACATCTCGTCCAGTGCGGCATGGTTTTTCTCGGCC